ATATATAACCTCTTGTTGTAACAGCTCCCTCGCTGGTTCAACAGTTGCAACTGTTGGATTATTTTTTCCGCCTGAGGACGACCGCCTGTGTTGCGATCGAAACGTCGTGATATATTGTTTTTTGTTTAATTTTATTTTTCTACCTACGTGACTTTTCCGAAAGAACCAAAGAGTATAACTTATGTACTGCAGTGCAAGTTAGATTATATCAATTTCGTTCATTTCTCGAGTCGAACACCATTCGCCGTCTCTCCAATGTGCATCACCTGGGATACGATGTGGGTGGGGGTCTTGCTTACAAAGTGTTGTGCAGAGCTTACACGTCTGTGTGAGAGGGGGGGAGAGGGATGGGGATAGGCAGATATTGGAAGGCGAGAGAGATGGGTAGAGGGACAGAGATGGGAAGGGAACGAGAGGGAAAGAGAGAGAGATGGGGAGAGGAAGGGGGGGAGATGGGGGGGGGGGAACAAGATACTTAACTTTTAAGCAACTTTTATTGCTGCCAGCAGCAACAGCACTGGAGGCGATTCCAAATATGAAATACACAAAGTCACCAGAAAACAAATAAATGCTATAAATCAACGCACTGTGGCGCTAAATGCACCATGCACAACACGAAAGAGAAGTCACATGGTGGTGGTGGTCATCGCGCACGCCACAGTGACGAGCGAGCGCCTAAGAAGGTGAACATGAGGGTGCCGTCCACGCTGGTACAGAGGGCTTTTTTGGCTCCCCAGCATTCGAAGAAGAAGTGCACATAACCGACATGTGTGTGGTATGCGTGCTCCAGTTGGAGCCGCACCTTAAGCAGGCCCCTGAACACCGGAAGCACAGAGCAGCCATCAGTGTCACCTTCCAGCATCTTTTTCCTTGTTCTGAACACCGCCATCTTCGCCTGAGCAGAGACGAAGTTGACGAGGTTATGGCGCTTGTTAGCCAGGTAAGGCACCCCATATGAGAAGCTGCTGTTGTAGAAGGGCACCCCCAGTTTTCTGAAGATGTCCCCCAAAAGGCGGAACATTGGTTTGAGCCGCTGGCAGTGTAAGTACTGGTGGGGCAGATCCTTCCTGGCACCACAGGCAATGCATAAGTCTGTTACCCCTGCGAGATTCAGCTGAGCCACATGGCCGATGGCAACGTGCAGTGTGCCAATCTCCACTGGAGGTCACCACGTTGGGCTACAGTAGACTTGTACATTTGTTTCCACTGAGGGGCAGCCGCAATGAGGGGAGAAAAATGGTCTCTCCATTTTGTATCCGGTAGGTTGGCCAGGTCCCGGGAATGCAGCACCTTGACACAGCACATGTAGAGCGCTGTGTTCGGGGCACTCTTCAGGGGTACGTTCCTACAGCCTCGGGGCTTCAGTAGCTTGCCGGAGTTACTGTGGCCAGGGGAATGCGCGCAGGAGAAGCACAACTCCGAGAAGGAGGGGAGGACCGCCACCATCCCCCGGCGCCTCCAGCTTCAGGCGCAGCTCCTTCATGGCGCGGAGCACGTCCCGCTGCAGCTTCTCCCTGGCAAGCATGGAGCAGAATCCCACGGTGCTGGCGATCTCAGCTGCGGTCTTCCACTTGGGATGGTGGGCCTGCACGAGCTGGAAGACTGTCCGCAGCCCTGCTGATGTGAGGCATAGAGCCAGGATCCTCTCTCCTTCAGGAACTGCGCGAGGTCATAGGGCGCGCGCATTTTGCTTCACTCCAAGCTCCGCCACGCGTCCAAGAAGCTCTGGTGATAACCTGGCAGCCTCATGTAGTCGACCAGGCTCAGGTCCATCAGGAAGAGCTCCTTTTCGTACTCCAGGCACCCCCCTGCATTCCACAGCAGGGCGAGGGCCAGCGACTTCCAGGGTAGCTCCTCCCGGTCGTACAGCAGCCGCCTGACTGCCATGAGCCTGAAACTCATGACCCTGGCGACGACGTCTACCAGACCCTGGCCGCTCTCGCCCACCGGCAGGCAGAGAACGCCCGGCCTGAACCAGTGTTTCTCATGCAACACGAAGTGTGCGAGTGAGCAGTTGACTCTGGTGAGTAGACAAGCAGGAGGCTGGAAGGCCTTTGTCTTATGCCACAGCACGGATGCTGCCAGGGTGTTAGCGATGAGCACTCGGCCCCTGAATGACATCTGCGGAGCAAGGCGTGCCCACGTCAGTAATTTAGCCTCGATTGTGTCGGCCAGCTCTGTCCAGTTGTTCAGAGCGACGAGTGGTTTCCCCAGGTAAATGCCCAGGTACTTGACTCCGTCGTCCCGCAAACTGACTCGTCCTGGGAGGAGCACAGAGCGAATGCCGCCTCGCGACATTTAAACACAGGGCCTCGCACTTGGCCCAGTTGACCCTGATGGAGGAGGCCCTCTCGTACACTGCAACTGCCTGGCAGAGTGCGGAGACGTCATGCGCATCGTTGAGCACGATGCATATGTTGTCTGCGTAAGCCGAGAGCTTGATGACCGTGTTCTCAGGTCCCGGGACTTTAAGGTCAGACAGATTTAGTCTCAGGTGGCGTAGCAGTGTCTCAATGGACAGGGTGTACAGCAGCCCCGAGAGGGGAAATCCCTGTATTTTGTAGTCGGCGCACAAGAGGGACACGGGTCGCCAATTCTCGACGAGGCGCAGGTCCTCCTTCTTGGGTAGCAGGGAGACCACCGCCCATCCTGCAGCTCTGTGGGAGTTCACCCTTCTGCAGGTTCTCCGTCAACAATTGTAGTAGTGAAGGACCAAGCTCATCCCAGAAGGCCGCATAAAACTCAACCGGCAGGCCGTCAATCCCCGGGGCTTTACCAGCTGTGAGCCATTTCACAGCGGTGTGGAGCTCCTGCAGGGTGACGGGGCTGTCCAGACGATCCCGCTCGGGGACTCCTAAGGTAGGGCCCCCGTCCAGTAGCTCCTGGACAGCCCTGTTGTGTATGGTTTCGGTGGCAAAAAGTTGGGAGTCGAAATCCCTGGCGGTCTTGGCGATCTCACTCTCAGATGTTGCTGTTTGTCCATCTGGGGTTCGCAAACTGGAAATGTTTGTGGTGTTGATTTGTTTAAGCGGAAAAAAAACTTAGAGGGAGAGTCCAGCTGCGACAGGTGCTGCATCTTTTTGCACACAAAAGCACGATGTGCCTGCTCGTCCGTGATGGACCTGAAAAGCCACTGCTTCTCCAGTAGCGTCTCACCCTGCTGCGTGTCGTGGGATGAGCTCAGCTCTGCCTCTAGTGCCAGCAGCTCGTTCTGCAGTTGGCGCGCCACCTCGTTCTTGGCGGCGGCGTGCTGGCTCATGAACTGCTGACAGAGAGCCCTGACCTGTGCCTTTGTGTTGTCCCAATATAACTGGTGGGAGCTGAAGCTTCCTATGGCAGGCAGCCACTGAGCCCAAAAGGCGTTCAAGGTTTCTCTGAAGTCGGTGTCATCAAGCAGCTGTACGTGTAGTCTCCAGTAGGCGCTGTGCTGCTCCGCTCTGGGAATTCGCAGCAGCACAGAGATCAGGTGGTGATCGAAAAAACTGGAGGGTACGATTTTACTGTCCGTGAGCAGGTTAACGCTGCTGACGTTGACGTACAATCGGTCGAGCCTGGCAAGGCTTTTCCTGCCTTGAGAGCCGCAGCGGCACCAAGAGTACTGCCGCTGGGCTGGATGCTGTAGTCACCGCACGTCATGCAGATCCAGTCTCCGTTACGAGGTCGGCTAATGGCCGCCAGAGTAGCGTCGAGGTGAGTTTCCTGGAGGAGAGTCACATCTGCTTTGTGTTGCCTGACAAAGTGGCAGATCTGGTCCCACCTCTTGTCACTGCGAGCGCTATTACAGTTCAGACTAGCAACCTTAATAGCTGAAGCCATCATGTAGTTGTGTGGTGGTGGCAGTGTTAACGGTAGTTGCCGGTGGCTGGGTTAATTAAGTAAGCTCCTTCTACGCCTTACGCATGAACGCTTTTAGGAGGTAGTATTCCTGAGTCGAGATAACAAACCTGTCGCTGTTGCGGCAGATTTGTTGGGACGCTTTGAGGAAAGTGGTGAGGTCAGGGAAAATGGCCCCAACCCTATCTTGACGCTTCCTGAAAGTTTTCCTGAGGAAGTTGTGGATGTTCCCAGGTGAGTAATCGCACTCGCTATTGACTTGTGAGTAGCTGAGTCACTCACATTGTCCTCTCCTTCAGTCTCCGACACCTCATCGTCCGAGTCCTCCAGCTCGTCAAACTGTGACTCGGCAGAAACCTCATTTACCTTTGGTGATGGCAGGGCCCCATCGTGAAGAATGTGGCTGCCCTCTGGTAGTGGAGGTTCTTTTGCTCTCCCTTCGGGTGAGGTGAGCCGGCCTTCGTCGCCTTCCTGCAGTGTGGCGCCAATCAGGCGCCGCACCGGCTCGTGGTTCCTCTTGCCCTGAGGATGCTGAGGCAGCATGCGGCGGTGTCAGCGAGGATGTTGGCGGCACTTGTCCCACCGTGCTGTCCTCAGGCGAGTCGCCATCGACTTTTGGATCGGGCTCGTGATCGGCGGTGGCCGTGCGCGTAGGATTAGGGGCGCGTGGCCTCCTCCGCCGTGGCCGGGCCTTACCCTGCGCTTGCGGGAGGTGACGAGGGTGAAGCCCTCGCCATCCTCGTCGTCGGTGGGCGGCTTTGCGCGACCGGCCGCCGAGTCAGCGTCCTGCTGCTGCAACAGCTGGCACTCATGCAGTGCTGGCTGCTGCTGCTTAGGCTGCGGTTGCTGCAGCTGCTGCTGCGGCTGCTGCTTCTGCTCGCGCTGCTGATGCTGTGGCGGCTGCTGGCGCTGTTGCTGCTGCTGCGTGACGTTTGTTGCAGGCTGCGAGTTTTTTCCTTTTGGTTTGCCCGTGCAATTTGCACGGGCATGGCTGAAGCCACCGCACACGTAGCAGCGTGGCAACGCGGTAGACAAGTACACGGTGTAGCCTTCCGATGTGTACTTAAAGTTCACGTTAAGTTGCGTGTTGTTGACGTTTATGGGCTACACGGGGGGGGGGGGTCTTTGTGTTGTATTGTGTGAGATGATATATAACGAGCACCCGGTTATAGAAAGTGATCACATTTTATTAATGTACAGTACCGCATAAGACAACGCACGTTAGCTGTATGTATCAGCAACATCTGGTTATTGCAAAGGACTTGTCAATAACCTGACTCGATTTACAATATTTATAATTCAGAAGGAATCTGATGAGACTATGGGGACCTCATTTGCCAGTAAAAATATGATAATTGGTTCTTTACCCTTCTATCTGGCAACAAAAAAGGTGTCAGTTTTGTTGCCAGATAGAAGGATAGAAGGGTAAAGAACCAATTATCGAATCTGATGAGCTCTACAGCTGTTTTTTCACAGATAAAACTACTATTTATTAAAAACGGAGGACCCGGAAAAAAATCCACGCGACCACCATGGAGAGAGAGAGACACACACAAACTCCAAATATACAGCAGCAGGCATCGTCAGGGTCAGGAATAAACCCACAATCTTCTATATACAAGGCGAGGTAGTTAACATCTCACCAGAAGTCCAGTCGGGGCACAGGGTCAGAACGTTACAATAACAAACACAATGCACACAAACACTGCACGTTCATAGACCAATATTGATTTTAAGCTTTCGTGACTGCAGGAATCCATACTCTTTGGTTATTTCGGTAAAGTCACGTCGGTACACAAAATCTATATATATAAAATCGTGAATGTCTGTCTGTCCGTCTGTGTGTGTGTGTGTGTGTGGATTTCGGACCATACGCACTTTCATTGGACGGCGGTTGCCCCTGGCAACGGCTAGCGACGCCTTCGCCGCTTTCATTGGAACTGGCAACGGCTAGCGACGCCTTCGCCAGAGGCTGCAGTTTCATTGGACGGCGGTTGCCCCTGCCAACGGCTAGCCACGCCTTCGCCACTTTCATAGGCTCCGTAAATAATTAAATAATAGCCATTACACAATATTGTTGGAGCGCTAGGGGGGGGGAAGGAACGCCACCCGTACCCTGCCTCTGCCGGGTGGACAATTTAGGCGAGGCCGCAGGCTCTGCACGCTACTAGGCCTCGACACCCACCACGCCACTCTGAGGTAAATTCAGCAAAGTTTTTCCTACTCTTCACTCCACCCCCACCACAATGTGTGCAATTAATATTACTTTTAAACCCAACGCGCCAACAATCGATTACTTAAATGTTCACTGTACAAATAGTCATTAAGCTGGGTCAGCGTACTGCCAGTCTATCATGTAGACTGTAGCCTGCTTATTAAGCTCGGTGAGCGTACTGCCACTCTATCATGTACACTCTAGCCTGCTTATGAAGCTGACTGCGTGTACTGGCAGTTTATAATGTGGACTGTAGCCTGGTTATTATAATCGATTCTTTATATGTTCTTTGTACAAATAGTCATTAAGCTGGTTGAGCGACCCCAGTTCGATTCCAACTCACGCCCACCACCGCTGACGATTATTTGAAACGGACCTGGCCCTCCCCTAGGTCCACTCAGCCTCAAACGCGTAACTGCTGTCGTGTGTGAACATCGTCACTGGGGAGACAAAGGCGGCCGGGCATCGTGGATCCAAGTCCCGGGCGAAGCCGGGTCATGTGTATGTGTGTATGTGTATGTCTGTGTGTCTGTATGTATGTGTGTATGTATGTATGTGTATGTGTTTGTGTGTGTGTGCATGTATGTGCGTTTTTTTCTATGTCTTTATGTGTATGTCTGCGTGTCTGTATGTATGTATGTACGTGTGTGCATGTGTTTGTGTGTATGTATGTGTGTGTCTATGTATGTGTGTATGTGTTTCTGTGTATGTATGTGTGTGTATGTATGTGTGTTATGTGTCTGTCTGTGTGTCTGCATGTATGTGTGTGTGTATTGTGTATGTGTTTGTATGTATTTGTGTGTTTACGCTCGCATTACACAAATGTGTTGCAGGTCTAAGGAGTTCCTTGCGCAGTATTGCCGTTTTATTATTTCAGTCGTTTACTGCCGTACGCACCCTGAAAGTCGTGTGTGTCTGCAGCAAACGCGTGTATGTGTACGCGCGCGCGTGTGTTGTGTAGGAGGAACGGTAGTGTAGTGCTTAGCGTGCTGCCTGTGTCTGTGTGTGTGTCTGTGTGTGTGTGTCTGTGTGTGTGTGTCTGTGTGTGTGTCTGTGTGTGTGCGTGTGTGGTGTGTGGGGAGCGGTAGTGTAGTGGTTAGCGTGCTGTCTGTGTGTGTGTGTCTCTCTGTCTGTGTGTGTCTGCGTGTGTCTGTGTGTGTGTCTGTGTGTGTGTCTGTGCGTGTGTGGTGTGTGAGGAGCGGTGGGTGTAGTGGTTAACGCTACGCTGCGCTACAAACCCGGCGAACCGAGTTCCATTCCCGCTCACGGCCACCACCGGTGACGATTATTTGAACCTCCCCTAGGTCGACTCAGCCTCAAACGAGTAACTGGTGTGGCGTATTAACATCGCCACTGGGGGGACAAAGGCGGCCGTGCGTGAGTGGTGAGGGAAGGAGAGTGGTGAGGGGGGGAGAGTGGTGAGGGAGGGAGAGTGGTGAGGGAGGGACAGTGGTGAGGGAGGGAGAGTGGTGAGGGAGGGACAGTGGTGAGGGAGGGAGAGTGGTGAGGGAGGGAGAGCGGTGAGGGAGGGAGAGTGATGAGGGAGGGACAGTGGTGAGGGAGGGAGAGTGGTGAGGGAGGGACTCAGCCGCAAAACGAGTAACTGGTGTGGCGTATTAACATCGCCACTGGGGAGACAAAGGCGGCCGGCCGTGGTGGATACAAGTCCCGGGCGAAGCCGGGTAGTACAGCTAGTATTTCATAAAAAATATTCCCTCTCATGATTGTTGGTGAGTGCCAATAAATACCTTGCTAGACTGTACCATAGCCATGTCACTCTAAATAATGTAAGATAAATCTCACTTTTAGTTGAACACATTACTTCACAGTTATAAGCAAACAATCATATATAACGACAAAAAAATACTAAACTAATTTTAATTTTACCAGGTTAAGGCCCCACTGAGCTGTGTAGCTCTTTTTCAGAAAAAAATCTGGCTACCACAAATGTTAGCTCAACGAAGAGGCTAATATTATCACGTCGAAATTTATAGCAGGAGCCAAATAATGCGTGACGTTAATTATAAACGTGAACTGGGATAAAAATCCAACACGGGAAACTACAAATATAGAACAGCAGGCATCGTCAGGGTCCGGATGGAACCATCATCCTCCTGCATACTAGGCCACCATGGTTAGTGCAGTGCGATAACCACTGCACCACAACTCATACATCATCATCATGATCCATGGACAGATAGCCCCGTCGTAGGAGGTGGTCCTCTGCACATTTCATGATTTGTTGTTTCCATACTCTCTGGGTCTTTCGGTAAAGTCACGTAGATAGAATAAAAGTATTATTATTTTATTTCGTGACGGCAGAAATTCATACTCTCTGGGTCTTTCGGTAAAGTTACGTAGATAGAATAAAAATATTATTATTCTATTTCGTGACGGCAGAAATTCATACTCTCTGGGTCTTTCGGTAAAGTCACGTAGATATAATAAAAATATTATTATTCTATTTCGTGACGGCAGAAATTCATACTCTCTGGGTCTTTCGGTAAAGTCAAGTAGATAGAATAAAAATATTATTATTATATTTCTCCGGGTCTTTCGGTAAAGTCACGTAGATAGAATAAAAATATTATTATTCTATTTACGTGACTTTACCGAAAGACCCAGAGAGTATGAATTTCTGCCGTCACGAAAGCTTTGAATCAAGATTTGTTGTTTCCAATTTCCTCTCTCTGTCTTGTAGTGTCAATCTGCTCAAGTAGTGGTCACATCTTTCTGGCACCAATCTCGTTATGATGTCGTCGTCAAGCCATTCTCTGTTAGGTCTTCCTCTCTTTCTGGTTCCATCCATTAGAATTTATCAAAGATGTCCTTCAGGTCTGGGTAACTTTCCCTGAGGTCCCACAGCGCCTCCCAGAATTGCTTGACCCTGGGTCGCCCCCTCGCCATCACCAACTCCACCATGTGCTGCGTCGCCTTCTCGCTGCCTTGCCGAGCTTGCATTCCTTTCACTTCCTGCGGGTGAACACATGACCGCAAGAACCACTCTGTTTGTGTTGTTTCAGCCGTGAAGCAACGTTAATGACGAAAGTTTGACTTAGTGCACGTGATTGTGAGACACGTACAACAAGGTCCCATATTTGTTGTTCACGCCTTCCAACCAAAAGTTTAAAATTGGCTCCGTCAATCTGTAATGCCTGTGGCTACAATAACTCGAGTAAAGATGATCCAATATGAACAAACACTTCTGGAAAAAAATTGATTTTGCTATTCGGGACTTACCCCTGCAGAATACTGGCCACATTGATCACAGGATTCCCCTTAAAAGTTGGAAACAAAACCAGCACTAAAAGGAATTACATCAGACACACACATAGCACTCATTGCTGATCACTCTGATTTATCACTGTCAACCACTTCTGCAGTAGACTCAAAATGGGACATGTTCTGTAAAGCCTAGAAAGCATATCAATAGTGCTTTCGTGACAGTCGTACTCTTGCTCAAATTAAGACTCAGATTACCTCGTCGCCAAACGCCTGTTCCTGTAAATCTGCCGACCGTTCAACTTACTCAATGGAGACTGAAATGTAATCGTCGACTCGGCAATCGCGGCTCTCATTGGTCTGGGCATTCGATCACTTCTCGATTTTGTTAATTTTACCAGCTTACAAGTCTTCTTGAGTCCGACTTTGGAATTGGAGAAATAGTCCTAAAATTAATCTCATCCTATGTGGCCGAGAGAGAACCACCTCTTCAAAAAGGTGAATCCACATCCACTATCACAAAGGACTCGTGCAGGGACCCCAGAGCTCCGTGCATGGGCCACTATTGTTTGATATCTACACATCCCCCCATGCTTCTTCTTCTTTAGTGCTGCCTAACGGCGTGTGCGACTTCACGATGATATTGGTCCCGGTCTAGCATGGCGTGTAGAGTTTGTGCTGTTGTTAATTGTAGCCATGTTTTGATGTTACTGAGCCATGTCGTTTTTGGCCGTCCTGGTCGTTTTTTTCCTTCGATTTTTCCTTCCAGGATTTGCTTTAATAGCTGGTATTTGTGGTCGTTTCGGGTAATGTGGCCTAGGTAGTAACACTTCCTGCTAATGATGGTCTTCAGCAGTTGCCTGTCAGTGCCCATATCTTGCAGAACTTGTGTATTGGTGGTTTTGGCTGTCCATGGGATTTTCAGCATTCTTCGATACAGCCACATCTCGAAAGCTTCGAGCCTTTTTGTTGCTGTTGTTGTCAGTGTCCACGTCTCTACTCCGTACAACAATATTGACCAGATGTAGCATTTCAGTGTGCGCAGTTTCAGTGATGTACTCAAGTTGCGGTCTGCATAGAGTGTTTTCCATTTCATAAATGCTTGCCTTGCTTGTTCAATTCTGCTCTTGATTTCGACTTCATGGTTCAACTGATCGTCAATGATTACACCAAGGTATTTAAATCGGTGTACTTGTTCCAATTTTTCACTGCCAAGCTTGATTGTTATTTCGCTTGTAGTTTGGCTGACCTTTATAACCTTTGTTTTCTTTTTATTAATTCGTAAGCCCCATATTTGACTCTCTGTGGCAACCTCATCCAAGATTTGTTGTAGGTCTTGTTCCGAATCGGCCAGCAGTGCAGTGTCGTCGGCATACCTGATGTTGTTGATATATTGTCCATTGACTTTAATACCAATGTTTTTATCTGCTAGTGTTCGATCAAAAATCTGCTCCGAGTAGATGTTGAAAAGACTGGGTGAAAGTGGGCAGCCTTGTCGTACACCTTTTTGTATTGGTGTTGGGTCTGTCAATTCGTTGTCATATCGGAGTTGGGCTGTTTGCTTCCAATAAAGAGCAATGATGAAATTGATGTCGTTTTTATCTAGTCCCAGTTGTTTTAATAGAGCTGCTAGTCGGTCGTGGTCTACTGAGTCAAAGGCTTTCTCGTAATCTATGAAGCAGATGTACACTTCTTTCTGATGTTCGTAGCATCGCTGTAGTAGTATCTGTAGACAGAAGATTGCTTCTCTTGTGCCTAGTCCTTTGCAGAAGCCAAACTGTGTGTTCTTCAATGCATTTTCGCATGTGGAGCGTATGCGCTGTTGGATCACCTTCAGGAAGACTTTCAGCACGTGGCTCATCAAGCTTATCAGTCTGTAGTCCTCGCATTTCCGGCTTGTTGCTTTCTTTGGTATGGCCACAAAGATGGATTGTAGCCAGTCGGATGGAATTTTATTGCCATTGTATATTTGATTGTACCAATTAGTCAGTTGTCGTATGTTGTTACTGTCTAATAGTTTGAGCAATTCTACATGGATTGTGTCGGGCCCGCACGCTTTGCCTGACTTAGCTGTTTTGATTGCATGTTCTACTTCTGATGTTAAAATGTGTAGAGCGTCTTTCGACATCTGTTGGTCTTTTTCTGCAGGTGTTCTCGCGGCGCCATAGAGCTTGTGTATATAGTTTATCCAGGTGTCCATTTTTTCTTGTTTATTTAGGATTGGTTGGTTGTTGTCCGCATACAAGGTAGCTGTTGGGGCTGGTCTGTAGATGTTACCAGCTTCTTTGAGCTTCTTGTGCAGAGTAAAATTGTCATGTTTTTTAATTAGTTCTTCAATCTCGGCGCATTGTTCTTCCATCCACTTTTCTTTTGCCTGTCGGATTGCTTCTCTGATCTTCTGTTGCATTTGTTTGTACTTCTCCAAGTTGTTATTTTTGTACATTTTTCGTTTGCTCATTAGATCGAGAATAGTTTCGGAATTAAATACCACTATGCTGATGACATTGTATTATAGACACCAATGAACCCCACTAATGCTCAAGGAATTGAAAATCTCTCAGAGTGCATAACAGCCTCGCAGCACTGGTTCTGGTCGCATTATCTTTCTTTAAATGCAGCCAAATCTGAAGCCACACTCATTGGGACCAGACAGCGGCTCATGTCACCCTCTTTTCCGCTCAACATCACGATCACCAGCACCACAATGCCCATTACGGACCGCTTCAAATTCACTGGTGTCACTGGATTATTCCACCTTTTCTCTGGACATTCATGTCAACTACTCTTTGTCACCCACGTCCAGTCATTACCATAAATATTGCCAACACCGTCGCCTGCAGTCGAGGTTAGCCCTCATCTCGACTACTGCAATGCTGTTCCCTCCAAGCCATCATCGAGCAACGTCCGCAAATTACAAGGGTTGCAGAACAACCTTCCTCGTGTCGTCCTTGGTGTCCACCAACCTACGACTCGACTAGGCCACTGCGCTCCATGGCCTTCATTGTCTCTCCTTCCCCAGCAAGGACAAATTATAATAATCGCCTGTATTTGTCACCCCTTCATCACCGGTTCCCCACCACCACACCTCGCCTCACTTCTCTCGCCTTGCACTGAAGGCTCATGGTAGAACCCTACACAGCAGCGTCGCTCCAAATCTTCTTCGGACATCAAAAGTCTCGAACTGTTACAGCCTCACGTCATGATACGCACTACTAAATCTGGTGCGTTATGGCATTATTATTTTGTTGTCAATATTTTTTTATAATAATTAAAAGTCAGAGTCAGGGGCGGTTTCTTCATTAGGGCGATTGGGCGACGCACCACCAAAGTGTGAAAGGTACTTTTTCAATCACATTAACAATCTCATTCAACCACAGAGTTACGCTAGCCGTTACTGTGCCTCTGGATATAGTCCAATCAGCGTCATGTCACGTTCTGTGGAGTACCGCCTCTTTTTGGGCGATTTCACTCTGGCTGAGAATCGCCCAGATTGTTCCCATAGACTTACATTCAAAGATGGTTTTTTTCGAACGGCAGGCACTACAATGCATTCTCTATGGCTTCCGGGAGGGCTCGCACTAACGTGCTTACATCATCATACGTAAGCACGTTTCAGTCAACAATATTATTTGTTGCCACCTAGTGGAATTTCGATTTAAAGCTTTCGTGACTGAAAGGATTCATCTTCTTGGTTTATTCGGTAAAGTCACGTCGAAGGGAAGTAATAAAATAATAAAAATAAAACATAATAAAATAATTCTCACGACGTTTCGGCCACAACTCATGTAGCCGTCCTCAGGTGAAAACCAGGTCTGTCGAGGCGACAGCGTCTGAATGAAAAAGCACACGTGCTTGGAGCATGTATATAAGCTGGGTTGGAAAGGGGGAAGAAATGGGGAGCCTTAACAAAAGAATTTGCATATCAAGAGGAATTTAGCATATTTATGGGAAATGCAGGTATGTGATTAGTACTGCATATGCCCGTGCATTATGCAGGATTAGCAGCATCAAAGGGAGGGGATATGGGTAGCATTAATGAAGGGAAGGAGTGTTAATAGTATGTAGCTGCAGTAACTAAAACCACCACGTAAACAACTAAAGTATAAACTACATATTATCATCAGTATACTAAATATACTCTACAATACGCTGAGTTACTAACAGTAAGTAATACATTACAATTCTACGTCGTAAAAAATATATATAATATGCTTCCATCTAAACTTTATTCTCTTACATCACACGAGTCTACACCCTACTATATACTGCCATAGACAAACCCAACATTAAATTATATACTGTATTGCACACCAAAGAAAGGTTCTTCTTTACCGACCACCTTGTAAGTGCCACGCTGCTACAAGGAGAGATGTTTCAACAGCATGGCCATACATTCCCTGTTGAGGCTCTGAACATCACTGTCAGGGCATACCCTATGTTAAATAAGGCGAAGCTGAAGACTGAACTGTCTGTCATTTATGAGAGTCCAGAATTCAAGGGCTGCTGTGGTGCACTAGCGCTGTACCAGGTTTTGCTGAAGTAGAACCTCCAGGATACTATTTCAGAGACTGTTGCTCTGTTGAACATCCTCATAACCACTCCCATGACAACTGCTGAAGCTGAGAGGTGTTTCTCAACCTTAAAGAGAATCAAGACATTCCTGAGAAATGTAATGGGACAGGAACGTCTGAATGCAATGGCTATGCTTTCCATGGAGAGGGAACTAGTCAGGAACATGTCTGCTTTCAATGAGAGAGTAATTGATCACTTTGCTACTTTGAAAGAGAGAAGAGCAAAATTTCAGTATAAGTAAGCAGTGTATTAAGCGAGTAATGTGATGTAAGCAGTGTAATAATAGTGAGTATAGAAACAAACATGGAGATGTATTGTAAGAATCACTTTATTTTTCATTAATATTAAAGTAGTGAAGTTGCCTTTACATGCTTAAGCTGTTAATTTATCCATTGCATGGGTGGACCTTATCCTTATCAATCATCCAAACATTTGCCCCCCCTGAGAGATTTTGCAGGAGCCGCCACTGGTCAGAGTGCATTTGATGTTGCGGATGTCCAATGGGACAGAGTTCCACACCGAGGCGGTGACAGCAGAGAGACTGACGCGAGGCGTTTTTAAGTTCGAGACCTCGGTGTCCGAATACCAAACACCTCTTTATGAGATGATAAATGACGATTATGAATATGATGACGATGATCTTAGTGGACATACCCGCACACTGTTGTCGGTGAGTATGTTCCTGATCTGTAGTTGGGAGAGCAGAGGCGTCAGGTCGTCCCGCAGCGCCATGAGCAGCTCCCTCGTGTTGAAGCGGATTTTGTCCCGGAGGACAAAGTCGCTGTAGCTGTTCAGAACCACGTGGGACTTGTTGGAGAGTCTCCTGAGGAAGCCTGCGGCACCACAAAGGGGACAACATTCGCACTGATTCAGCCTTCAGGGGTGGACGAGAGCAGGTTGGAGTGCTCTTGGACAGCTGAACATAATGTTAGCCCTCTAGAATATTTTATCCATAAGAGGTTATGGATAACGCCTGTAGCTACGGGCTAAACGATACATTGATATTCATGCAAACTCCCCCCAAAAAAAACCTCCACTGTGGATAAAAATTGGCCAAAACCGAAACAAGACCGAAAGTAAAAGTTTTACTTCCGGCCGAAACCGAAAGTTTAACTACACTTTCGACCAAGACCGAAACAGAAAGATATATAACCGAAGTTACCGAACACAAGATTTATGAAATACTAGCTTTACTACCCGGCTTCGCCCGGGACTTGGATTCACCACGGCCGGCCGCCTTTGTCTCCCCAGTGGCGATATTGACATACCACACCACTTACTCGTTTGAGGCTCAGTAGACCTAGGGGAGGCCCAGGACCGGTTCAAATAATCGTCACCGGCCATGAGCGGGAATCGAACTCGGGCCGCCGGGTTCGTAGCGCAGCGTGCGAATCGCTACGCAGTCGCTGCCCCGCCCCCGATACACACAGGCTAAAGACAAAGATCCCCCGACTGACCGACTGATAGACTTAGCACTAGCGTTGTATTCTAATAATAGATCTTCGGTTGACGACCAAAAGTCAATATCAGTTTTGGCCGAAACCGAAACCAGACCAAAAGTAAAAATTTTACTTTCGGCCGAAACCGAAAGTATGCCGTAAGTGGCTAATTGCCAACTTTCAGCGCCGAAACCGAAACCGAATTTCGGGCAGCCTCTACAATAGAGCTAATGTGGTGTGTAATCTCAGCAGCACATAGTCCACCCCAATTCTGAATTGGAGGCATGCCCTCTACTCTGAATAGTCTACACGCTGCTGTGCACGTGAGGCTTGGAGGGGCAGGAAATGTCACTGGAAGAGATGATGGCCGGTTAACATGAAAGAGGTGGAAGGTATCTCAAAGATTGTTTACTACCAAGGCCTCCCAGCCACTCCTTGACTCCAGGATAACGGTCCTGCACGGCTTGCAGAGCAAACAGAAGCTTGAGGCAGTCATCGTTCCCTCTCTCTATGAAGTATTTGAGCAGCAGCTGCGCGCCCTCCGCGCCATCCCGGATGCCCTTGGCTTCAGTGAAGAGCTCGTTCGAGATTCGTCCTCGGCTCATCAGCTGCAGCAGAAGATGATTGGGGTCTCTGGAAATCCACAGCTTCAGATCCGACTCCTTATCTCGAATGGCCCTCAATGCCTCGCCTGCAGTCAACAGAGGTGCATATGAATTTCAAACGTATCGTTTAACACATTTAATTGACTTTAAATAATATTCAGCTACAGTTGTACTTCTGGAATCAAGCCACAAGATATAACATAATCAAGATCACATCGGTACTCAAACATTCTCAAATGTAACGTGACATTGTTCAGTCACACGCAGCGTGGCGTCATTGCCGTGCTGCTTTAAACGTAGCGTTATTGTCGCTAATAACTTCCCCCGAGGACGAGCTGGTGTTGGAAAGCATTACAAAAGCAATGCATATGCCAAATTTTTCCCTCCTTGACTCTAAAAAAATCCATTCAATATCAATATACTGGTGGGCAACTGCGGTGGCTAGATGTTAAGTACATCTCCTAGTATACAGGAGGTCGTGGATTCAATCCCGACCCTGATGCCTGCTGCTGTATATTTGGAGTTTGCGGTGTCTCTCTCCACGTGGTCTTGTGGATTTTTATCTGGATCCTCTGGTTTCCCGCTCCATATTTAGAAGATGTGGCTGCTTCTATACACTTCAATTCTGAAAGAGAGCTACTACATTGCTCAGTTGGGCTTTACCTGGTAAAATAAATAAATAAATAGCTTAGTTTTAGTATGGGTTTCGATGAGTATGGGTCTCTTTGGTTCTATTTTGGACTCTAGATCTCTGTAGGCCTCTGAGTATGGGTTTCTATGAGTAAGTCTGTAGAATCAGCATCACGTACTGATAGTACTTGGCTGCAGTGGCGGCTCCTGCAAAATCTCTCAGGGGGGGCAAATGTCTGGATGATTGATAAGGATAAGGTCCACCCATGCAATGGATAAATGAACAGCTTAAGCATGTAAAGGCAACTTCACTTCTTTAATATTAATGAAAAATAAAGTGACTCTTACAATACATCTTGTTTGTTTCTATACTCACTATTAAAACAAACCACTCAAGTTTATTTTATTAAAGATTCCACTAGGTGGCAACAAATTATATTGTTGGATGAAACGTGCTTACGTATGATGACGTAAGCACGTATGATGACGTAAGCACGTATGATGACGTAAGCACGTTAGGGCGAGCCCTTCCGGAAGCCATAGAGAATGCATTGCAGCGCCCCCGTTCGAAAAAAAAACATCTTTGAATGTAAGTCTATGGGGCCACTCGGGGCGATTCTCAGCTGGAGGGAAATCGCCCAAAAAGAGGCGGTACTCCACAGAACGTAGCATGACGCTGATTGGACTATATCCAGAGGCTGACAGTGACGGCTAGCGTGACTCTGTGGTTGAATGACATTGGTGGTGCGTCGCCCAATCGCCCTAATGAAGAAACCGCCCCTGCTTGGCTGCTAATATACATTTCCACGTGATGTTGATTATGATGATGATATCGCTACTTCATTGAGCTGCTATCATTTATGATGGCCAGGTCGCTTCTAATAAAGAGATACATGGCTCAGTGGGGGCCCTTACAGTTGGAAATATAAAAATTGTTTAGCCGTAGTTTTTTTTTGTGATTCGTTTACGTGGGTCGTACCGTGTTTCTGAATCCACTTCCACAGCTGCACGTATTGCTTCCTCACAGAGTAGAGGGCGTCCCACAGTTTCTCACAGCCCGACTCTCCCTGGCTGATGAAGTGGTCCATCACGAGCTCCACACTCTCCTCTCCGCCCTTGTTGACAGCCGCTTGATGAACACGCCGTGGAATCAAATTGAGGCCGTTGAGATGCTCCAGGAAAGCCGAGGGATCCGTTCCGATCCAGGCCTTGATATTCTCTTTGTTCTCTTGAATGAGTTGCATTGTATCGCTGCTATCATTGCTCCTCTGTAACGTGTGGAGAAGACACGTTTACAATTATTTCTGTGTTTGTGGGATAGAGTCTTCACTGTACTGGTATGTACGCCTACACAATGAAACAATGTAGAGTAGGGTCATCATGTAACCATGCTGTGTTGAATTTACCTGAACTCCATATGGCACCTTGTGTTCATTTCGCATTATATGAACAAGCGGTAGATTTTCATCATGCTCATAATTTGTAGGAGGAGTGTCTGAAAAACATCCGATACAATTAGGTTATCACTGATTCATAGTACAGCTGATATGGTTGTATCATTTTCTTAGAGGTCCAAAACGAAAAACTATTCTATAATTGGACACAGAATACTCAACATGGTGATATTAAAGTCAAGAAGAACATTTACATTCTTTCTATTTAAAGCTTTCGTGACTGCATGGATTCATCTTTTTGGTTCTAATAAAAATAAAACATAATAAAATCAATAATTTGATTTTATTATGTTTTATTTTTATTATTTTATTACTTCCCTTTTACGTGACTTCACCGAAAGAACCAAGAAGATTTACATTCTTTATACTCTGTATGTTTATGGTGTGTCTCTCTCTCTGCTTGTGTGTCTGTCGTTGTGTCTCCGTGTCTGTGTTTTGTCTCTCTCTCAAATTTAGCAATCTTTGTAAGAACGTAAAGCAACCAGGTAATATGCTGACTCGTGTTAGCCGACTCTCTGTGTTGTATTGCTTTGTATTTTTAAGTTCACTAGGTTTGTTTTCTACCTGATGACGATTGCTTGTGTTGCAATAGAAACGTCGTATTCTATTATTTAACTTATTTATTTTCTTTCTACGTGACTTTACCGAAAGAACCAAATAGTAATTATTCATATTGTTTAAGATTGGACAGACATTAACTGGAATGTAAAGTTTGCATAATTGCATTGTCAAGATGAAAATGTCATCACCTGCGGCCAAAGACCATGAACAGACAGTTTTACGATCGTTTTTGAATCAGTCCAAATCCTATCGCGATGCACCTCGGGACCTCGATAATTGTCCACTTTCTCTCTTTGTCAGAAAAGCAGTAAGCACACAACGAAGGAATTACAACACTTCAATTGAGCGTCCTATCCAACACGACTTTATGCGAGTGTGAATATTGTTGGATGAGTTGAGGCATGGCAGAGATGACTGTCACCAACACTCTTCTAGGGACCATTTAGAATGGCACCATAGCCAAGCTCTCAAATGGAATGCGACTCATTTTAATCATTCTGTGCAGTGGTGTCTGCAGAGAGCATTCAGAGGCGGCTCGTGCCGAGATGTGATTTCTGCGCACATTTTAATTCATATATAATGAGAGTAAAAATCAATTTTGGTAGATGTATCATTTCAGCCCAATACCAGGATGCAATCTTTGGATTAAGCACGGAACATTACCACTTACCAGATCGCTTCAACATCTTCTTAAAAGTCGACCCCTTCAGTTTCACGTTTAAGTAAAATGTGTACACCAGGAGTGCAGTCAGGACGAAGCCGAAGATTGTTACCAACACGACTACTGTGGTGTCTGAAATTTTACGAAGGAGAAAAAAATAACAAGGTGTCAACAGCAGTCCCCTCTTGGGCCTAATTGTCTGGTCTCTATGATGCATTGCAATGCATGGGAATCCAGACCTCTATCAAACCATTAAATAATTGCTCTTTGCATTATTTCTATAGTTTGTTTAGCACAACAATATCATGAAGGCGTTTTTCCACAGATTATCATTTGCAGCATTTGGACAGCTGTTGGCGATATTTTTTGATAATTTGCGTTCCCCTAAGAACGAACTTTGCAGGTAATTCTAACATTTGAACCCATGGCCTTCTATTTCCAAATAAGGTTACCAGAACTCTATCATTCACCATGAAGCAGATGGTGCATTTTATTTTGTTGAATGCACCAGCAGAATCAACTAGGGTAGCCGTTGGGCTTAAACCACAAACCTCTGAAATGAGTGTGAAGATTTGGAGGCAAGGGGACTCCAGCCTAAAACTTCTGTGTAGAGAAAATAAATATTAGGTGTTCAGTATTGCACCAGGTATTAAACTAATAACATCACACATGGCTGGCTTGACCATACATGCAGCCCCTGAAGCCTGCAATAGACATTAGGTTGAATTTCAATTCGTGCTTCTGTAATATCTTCAATAATGGCGGGAGACGAGTTGACGGGGCAGCACTCTTTTATTCACAACGGTTGCACACGTAACAGTCCCAACCGAGATAACACCTATCTCTCACGTGCCTGACTCGGCCACGTACTCCGTCTTCCCCGTGGGGTACGCGTACCTATCTCTGCCTCGACTCAGGCTCTCTGGCTACGCTCTCCCCACGGGGAGCTATCAGACCCCTCTTGTCAGACTACGGGTCTCGACCACTGGGCTACACAGCCCGAGCCCTTACAAGGGCGTCGGACCGTGAATCCCAACGCCTCGCCTCTGAGCCTCTCAGAACCCCGGCCCTTACAAGGGCAGCGGGGCTAGGGGTTCCAGGGCCTATCTCTCCCTCCGTCTTCCGTCTTCTCTGGTTACCAACTCCCCGAGTGCCAGCGCGCATCACCTTACATAGCCCTCCGCTCCCGAGGGGGCGGAGCCTATGCGGACCGCGATGTGAGCACCCACTCGATGTAACCAATCACCACGCGCTGCCTCACGATCCCTCCTGGCAGCGTGTATCACCACTACACTTCTACTGCAGACAGCTTCTGCTGTTTGAGTTGTCAGGCTGTCTCTTGCTCCCACTGTCAGCTGAGAAAAAAAATCTGCTGTTGTGGTTGACTTGAGCGGCTTCGTAATCCTACTGTAGTGACATCAGAGATGTCACTGTATGGTGCCGGCCTAGAAGGGCCGCGCCATTCGATGTTCCTACAACATGGACAGCACCGTGTGGGTGGCTGTGTGTAATACCAGCCCTAGCGGGGCTTGGTGAGCACTGGAATAGTGAGGGCACCACGCAAGCTTGTGGTGGGGGCTCCCACGAGGGGAAGTGGGTGAGGGGAAGTGGGTGAGGGGAAGTGGGTGAGTGTCAGCCCAGGGGCAGGGTTGCCCCTGGCCATGGCACTCTGGTTGACCCTGTAGACACGTGATCCAGAGAGTCCACACAGGGGGCCCCAGGTGGGGGGGGGGGGGGGGGGGCTAGTGGGTGATCACGTGTCCGGGAAGAGCTCTTGAGAGGGATCAAGAGAGAACGAGAATGCTGGAGAAGGCGGGCGGGGCTGAGGGCGTAGAAGCCCTGACCGTAGGGGGATATAAGGTGGGTCCCTAAGAGGGACCGGGGGTCACTGCATTCTACAAGCTGGAAGCTCAACACCTACAAGCGGGAAGCTCTACGTCTCAAGCTGAAAGATCTCCCTCTTACGAGGCAACCACGTCGTCGGAGACCCGAGTGAGGGTCCGACCCTTCTTAGCAGTAACCCCTCTGTATAGCGTTGTTGGCTGGGTGGCCACCACCCTAGGCTATATTGGGTAAAGGGGCCGTTACCCCTTTGTGTTATGGTGTTACAATAAATGTGTTGCCTCTAAAAGGAACAACGTCTGCAACTCAGTTGGACTCACTACACTACTACTACCTGAGTGTGTCTCCTCAGGCAGACAAATTCCCGAATCGCCATCTCTCTTGAGCCTCTCCATGCACCGACACACCGTGTCCTGGGCCACGGAGCAGTTCACAGCCACCTCCTCGCCTGCAATGAGAAAGTTGACGGTGCTAAAGTTCAACAAACATACACACACAGAGACCCACACAAACCCAGACCAATACAGACCCACAGAAACCCACAGATTAGCACGATTGGCTACGTACGGTGTGAAAGAAGTTCAACATATATTTCATAATAAAGGTTTTTGGGTAAGATTGCGTAAGTATAAATGTGTCATAACCCTCCACCACCCGACATAACCAGTAAGGTTTGTCACATAAACAACGCACCAATTAGTTTACAACTTCAGCCCACTGGTGTGTTGGAGAGATCAGAGGTGGAGGAGGGGGCGGTTATTGTAATTATATGACAATAGATTAGATTGCTAATCCCAGTTGATTAGCATGTATTTACTTAGTAAGGAATACAGTTGTAAGATGTATTACTTAATAATACGCTTCCAGGCCGCATTAAGCTTGTCAAAGCAGTTAAAATTAATTGTATTTATCTCAATTTCAATAGATTCTCCAATTAGTTTTACACAACTTATTATTATGTCTTTTTGTTTGCATGTTCACCACAAGTATATGTGGTTAATGCAGACATGATTTCTTGCAAAGGTTTCAGTTTGGTGTTTTAACATCTTAACACCTGTTTTATTGCCATAAATGGGAAAACCCTATTATTATAATTTAATACTGGAAAAGGAGGTCCCATGATGTTATCCATTGTAGTTGATATGCATACATTAACCCCCCTCTGTTGTTCGCACCTGATTGGCTCACAAGTGAAGACATTACATTGTCCCCTCTATTTAAGACCAAAACACGAAGATTTCTCCGTAACTCTGGATGTTGACTGATGCTACTGGTTGTAATTACTAGCGAAACGATACGGTACTCAAAATGTAAATGTTGTAGTAGGTTTACTCTCCCACTCACCAGTGTGCTAAACTATTAACGAATTGGTATGTTTTCTTAACGTGTCAAGCCTTATAAATTGGCTGTGTCGGGTGGTGGCAGGTTTAACGAGACATTTATATTCACGTGATCTAACCCAAAATTTGATATTATGGATACGTACACGCACACTACTATATGTAGTGACATCGCTGGATGTCGACATGCTGGGTGCAGTGCCAGCCCTAGAGGGGCACAACATGCGGTGTAGCGACATCGCGGATACCACAGTGGTGTGGGTGTCGTACTGGCCCTAGAGGGGCCCGGTGAGCGCTGAATGATAGAGCTAGATGGTGCCACGCTTGGCGTGGAGTGCCGACCCTACAGGACAGGGTGTGTGGGTGCTGGCCGGAGGATGAGGTTATTCGAAGCCATGGCACTCTGGTTGACCCGGGAGGACACGTGACCAGTTAAGCTGACAAAGGGGCCCCAAGAAGTGGCTGTGGGGGGGGTCACGTGATTGGGACCCAGATCCTTCCCGAGGATTCTGGAAAGTGGACGTGGCCAAGGGCGGAGCCGGCCACACCACAGAGAATATAAGCCGGGTCCCGAAAGGGACCGTGGTTATTGTTCGTCCTCGAAGAAATATTTGTCTACCTTCTCCGTTCAACGAGTCTCAAACACGTAGACCCGGGCCGAAGCTGTTGGTCCCGGTCTCAATTAGCAGTTATGTCGTAACTAGTGTAGTTAGCCTGGTGGTCACCACCAGGTTAACTACACTAGCGACGTAGTAACTAGTGTAGTGTAGTAACTAGTGTAGTTAACCTGGTGGTCACCAACAGGTTAACTACACTAGCTACGTAGTAACTAGTGTAATGTAGTAACTAGTGTCGTGTAGTAACTAGTGTAGTTAGCCTTGTGGTCAACACCACAGGTTGTTATTTTGTTAAGGGGAAAGTTACCCCGTGTGTTGGAACTGAATAAATGTGTTGCCTCCAAGTCTACGTCTCAGACTCAGTTGAACCTATTACATATATACTACACTATACAATACACTATACACAACCTAAGAGTAGCACAGTTGGCTACGTATGTTGCAAAAAGCATCGTACAATATCCTGGATTTTAATCTGGATTTCAGCTGCCTGTGATTATACCGAGTTGATATTAATTAGCTGCACCAATTAATTTTTAAAATTTCATTTCAGTTTGAATGCCACCTGTCTGTCAGAAGGACACAATTGCCTAACCATAGTATGAATAAAGGGGCCTACAAATTGGAATTAAAATGTGGTTCTGTGACGTCATCTTCTGTGGCGTGTGAGAGTTCCCAGGCATTTGTTGTCTCTTGACAAGATCATGATTTGGACAATTGGAATATTTAGCTCGAGGTGGGGTTTTCTCTCTTTAAAAAAGTTTTGGTCAGTTGCTTATCAAGTTTTGTCTTTGCTTCATGCCAGTTAAAATGGGAGTATCCAAAGGAACACCCGTCATGCATACATGAGATAAATATCACGCACATTGCAGATATGACAACAACCTACTTGCTGTGCTGCCACTTACCTGAACCACAGCTGCTGCACCATAAGCACTTCTCCTCCTGGTTGTCTCTGTCCATATAAGTGCCCTTAGAGCACAGATCACACAAAGCCTTCCTTCCGTCAGCTATGCAGTCCACCACCTTGAACGTCCCTGAAGGACAACGAAATGCGAGCAAGCAAAGGCGTTTTACAAACACAGTGACCACAAGTTGGTTCAGAGAGACACGGGCTGTACTGAGAGTCAACCAGTGTTAGGTTCTGTTCAGAGTACAATAGCTTGACTAAAAAATGTCTTCAGTATCGAATCACTTTTTGTATCCTGATAGTGATGAGGTCACGGGGTAAACACAAGGGCCAGTTGTGTTCCTTTCCACAGGAGAAGGGCCTGTGACTTGGTTGGGACAGGAAGGACCTGGCCACCACACTTTGCCGTTCCACAGGGATTGGGGGTCTCCGTGCCTGTGTGTTGCTTTTACCTGCAGGGCACAACAGGCAACAGACTCCTTCTGGTGATTTGTAGAATCCATCTCCACACTCCTTGGCGGCAGACTGCTCCTGCAGTGCACAATACACCTGAAGAGAAGGTCGACACAGAATGGAGTGATTCAGGGTGACGTCGACAAACGTAACTTTGTGATTGCGACAGTCCTGGTGGTTTCAGAAAACCTATCCCTGTTGTTTCCATGAATCATTTGTAACGAGATTAAAACTCATCACGTTGGAAAATGTGTAAATCGGCAGCAACGATTGGTGCAGCTGGCACCAACCCTTTATCAGGCGGATGGAATCGTGGACACGCATGCAACATAAAGAACCCACAACACCTTCATCACTGATCCAGCAGCACAGGTATCTGGCATAGACATCCCCTCGAAGGCGATAAACAGCAGTCAACTGAACTCGCACAGAGAACAGGCAATGGTGGCTGCCTGCTTCGCAATTGAGAGATGACTCCCAGACCATGGAACATATCAACTTGAACACTCTTCTTGGTTCTTTCGGTAAAGTCACGTAGAAGGGAAGTAATAAAATAATAACAATAAAACATAATAAAATACAATTCTCACGTTTCGGCCACAACGCAAGCAGCCGTCCTCAGGGGAAGAACATGGCTGTCGGAAAGACAGCCATGAACCGGAGAATTGTATTTTATTATGTTTTATTTGTATTATTTTATTATCTCCCTTCTACGTGACTTTACCGAAAGAACCAAGAAGATTAATCCCTGCAGTCACAAAAGCTTTAAATCGAAATTTAACTTGAACACTAATTTCTGTTGTGGGAGGTGTTTCATTTCTCCACTAAGCATCTCAGGAGGCCATTGAGTCCATTTAAAAACTAGACCTCACATTATAAGCTTTAACCATCATACAACAGATGAAGAATGTACTAAGTGAAACCACCAATTTAATCACTGCCTGTGAATGAGAAACTCAGAAAACGGAATGTGCCTGGAGGCACAGCAGAACAACTGCATCATCATATCACAGCAAACCCGAGCAGATTTACAACAGGCAAACGTGTGCAGCATTTTACGAACAAAGGCTTCTCACCATAATCCAGATCACCAGCTCAAAATAACTGAATGTTTGGCCGTTGTGTTTTTTTAAATGCCAACTCACAGAGTCGAGAAAATGTGGTCACCCCAACAACAAACAGTAATGAAACAAAGACAGTTCTAGACCGGATTCATCCACATTAGGAATCGTCAGTACAGCAGTCATATATGATGTTGCCATCTGCCTCCGGGAGCCTCAAATATGGAGAGGAGTTGTACGTTTACACTATCGGACCCATAACTTGCGTGAAGGCAGCAATAATTCAAATCAATAAACGACGATGAAACTCAGTTTAATACGATGGAGGCTTTCACGACCAATATCATCAATAATACAGGTTTTTTTTGGTTAGATCGCGCACATATATGCGTCATTAAACCCGCCAACACCCAACACAGCCAATTAGGTTGTCCGCCTAATTTGCTCTTTGTAATTACTGGATCAACGTCATAGTGAGATTGTAAATGTTGTGGATTTGCTCTCCAACACACCGGTGTGCTGTACTAGTGTAGAGTAGTAAATAATGACGTTACGTCACGCTCGCCCTCCGTTGCAGTGACGTCAGAGAATGACGTCATGCATGGCGGGTGGGATGGTGACGTCATGTCCCCCGGGAATATATAGGGTGGGACCCGTGATATATTCCGGGTCGTCGCAAGGAGCCGGGAAGGTGTGAGGTTGGAAGTTGGGACCCAGGATAGGGGGAAATTAGCGCCAGGCTAGAGTAGCCTGTGTGAGTGCTAGGAATCCCCAGTACCCATCCCCTGAGGTGTGGAGTGTGAGTAGGGATGGGAACGTATGCCTGCAGTGGGAACAGTCCAGCCACCAAAGGAAGGCTCGAGGGTTAGAAGCCCAACCTCGTCGCCGGGCGGTGATGGCGTGCCCCCGCCCGGGGCAGACGAGGGGAAGCCGTGCCGGGGCGTAGAATAATGGGAGACAGTTCCCCGTGCAGGCCAGAGTTCTGACGCGCACCGTAATGGGTGCAGGCGTCGGGTGTGGAGTGTAGGCAGTGAGTGTGTAGTACTCCGAGAGTAAGTGAGGTGTGAAGAGTGGTTAATAAACAACTGGCGCAAGCCCTTACATGAAGCTCCGTCTCAGTGTGGATCTACAAGTCTCCAGTGGTGTCAAGAATAGCCACACAACACTAGTAACAAAATGGCATATTTTGTTTATGTGATATCAGTGTCGGCTCCTGCAAAATCTCTCAGGGGGGGCAAATGTCTGGATGATTGATAAGGATAAGGTCCACCCATGCAATGGATAAATTAACAGCTTAAGCATGTAAAGGCAACTTCACTTCTTTAATATTAATGAAAAATAAAGTGACTCTTACAATACATCTTGGTTGTTTCTATACTCACTATTATTACAATCCACTCAGTTTCTTTTATTAAAGATTCCACTAGGTGGCGACAAATAATATTGTTGGATGAAACGTGCTTACGTATGATGACGTAAGCACGTTAGTGCGAGCCCTCCCGGAAGCCATAGAGAATGCATTGTAGCGCCCGCCGTTCGAAAAAAAACATCTTTGTAAGTCTATGGGAACACTCTGGGCGATTCTCAGCCAGAGTGAAATCGCCCAAAAAGAGGCGGTACTCCACAAAACGTGACATGACGCTGATTGGACTATATCCAGAGGCACAATAACGGCTAGCGTAACTCTGTGGTTGAATGACATTGGTGGTGCGTCGCCCAATCGCCCTAATGAAGAAACCGCCCCTGTGTGATATGTGTCGGGTGGTGGCTGGTTTAACGACGCAATTATATTTCCACGATCTAACCCAAAATAAACGTATTATGGACGATGACACTCATTGCAACAGACAAAATTATCATAGGCCATGAAACAAATAGGTTGAGCAACACACAATCGTGTGCATTGAGCTGGTGGTCTGAACAGGGCTGACATGTTGTACATGCAAGACACATCTTTGCGCATCATTTTCAGATTTGAGCATCCCTGGTATAACCTACACAGTAGCAGGCGCCAGTGTCTGCTCGAACAAGCATAGAGCAGCGTTCATCTCAACTGCGGCCCTGAGCCCTTGGTGTTAATTTCAAATTACCATAGTGGTGGTGAGACTCGTTGGGATGATAGTCAACTTCCCGGTATTTCTTATGGCAAGTTCAAAGCCAAGGACAAAATATTTAAACTTCATGTTGAGAAGGTGATCCATTCGATGGCATCCAAAGTTGATTTATGTATAAAGTCAGTGCCTCCTCTGTAAGGCTATAATGGGCAGTGGTTACCTAATTCAGAGATCGCACTTCATCACATTCACAATAGGGTGACTTTCATTGTCTTCCCAGTGTTCTGCATTTTTAATATACAGTAGTCCCTCGATTAACAGTGACATCAGTTAACGGTTTTTCAGTTAATGTTAAACCTCCCATAGGACCCTATGGTTTTGACTCACGTTAACGTTGTTGATTAACGGTATATTTTATATTAGCGTTCCCCAACCTTTTTGGCACCAGGGACCGGTTTCCTGCAAGATGCTTCCAGTGACGTTTGTTTTTTACTTATTTTGGCTATGGTTAGCTTGTGGGCTTACCAAAACTGTAACCGAGACAAGTGCGCAGTGTGGGAAAGATGCGCAGACGGAAGTGGTCAATAAAATAATGGCGGGCGACGCGAGGAATCACCGCTCTCACCTCCTGCTGTGCGGCCCGGTTCCTAACAGGCCACGGTCACGAATTTCGGCAAATCTGAGCGCTCGTAAGTGGGACTGGGCATGCCTCAGCCAATCAGCGATTCCTGTTTATAAGCCTTTAGACCTCGAATGGAATTGTTTATCGTATCTTATATTTATATAAAACGCCTTTATCCAAGGCGATTCATAAGGGTTATGAGCTGCACAACGAGGGTAGCTAAAAGTGATATGGTGAATTAGGGATGGGGTATGGTGGAGGGAGGATAGTGGGTTCAGGAATTATGGTGGGTACCTACGGATGCAGAGAATGATGGACCAGGAAGAAGAGGTGGGACTTGAGGGAGTGAAAACAGCTCTCTTGCATACTCAGTGCTTTTTACTTATTTTTCAACTCATAAGTGAATTCGCAAAAGGAAACGAGGAATAGGAAAGTAATTCGTTTGAAACGAAGGTTCACTTCCGATCATCTTGGAATGGTTTCATGCTTTTAACGTGTAATTCCTATATTAATTTAGCAGTTATCTCGGTAAGCAGTAGTTTTCGTGTAAAGGATTAAAAACGTAAACTGAGGGACTACTGCATATAAATATTGTCCATTCTCTCCACCACAATGTCAGGTTACTCTTGCAAATTAGATGACTGTTCTCTTGAGTTGTCACCAGGTTTAAACATTAACTTGACTACATTTCACGAAAGGTATTATATATGACCATTAACATCTGTACCTTGGACTGCAACGGCAAAGAGACAGACTGATACCGAAGCTGTAAACCTGGTTTATGTTTACGATTGCACTGTACATTAACGAAGGCAACCTGATTCACCCCTTTTTTCCCTATAATCTTCAGTCATTCTTACACACGCAATATTATTTGAAGTCATGCACAGCTACAATGTAATTCATCTACCGGTATGCCCATAACAGCCTGACTAAGAATCAACTAACTTTTTTTCAAGTGGATCACGCACCATTGGGACGTTTGTCAATTGCACTTGAAATAGCGAGCGCACGGCATCGTTTGGGAGGAAAGGACACTCAAAGAACACCCGCCATGCATGAGGACATGACACTGGGTGGTCGTTACAGTTGGTCTGAGATTAGGAGCACTCCCTTTAAGAGTGTGCTCCTAATTTTAGCTCGTTACCTGTATAAAAGACACCTGGGAGCCAGAAATCTTTCTTATTGAGAGGGGGCCAAATACTTATTTCTCTCGTTAAAATGCAAATCAATTTATAACATTTTTGACATGCGTTTTTCTGGATTTTGTTGTTGTTATTCTGTCTCTCACTGTTCAAATAAACCTAGCATTAAAATTATAGACTGATCATTTCTTTGTCAGTGGGCAAACGTACAAAATCAGCAGGGGATCAAATACTTGTTTCCCTCACTGTAACACTGGGTGGTCGTTACAGCAGGTGAGATCATAACCCGGTATCTGCACCTTGCTCTCTGCCACCACTTATAGGCGCAATGATCGACACAAAAAGGTGATTTTGTAGAGATGAGTTTGGGACGATTTCTTCTATTTAATTGATGAATTGGCCAAACAATCTTAAAAGACTGCTGTTTTGTGGTCAATAACTTAGACCCCTTAAAAAATGGCAGCTGCCCTCACGTCCTGTATCCCTGAAGGCTCATGATGCCAATGGCGTCACGAAGCCTTGCCCATCACCTCCCGTCCAGCAACACATGTGGGAAGAGGTTAGATTTTTTTTCTTCTTCCCCATAACTGTTTTTTTGTTATCTGATTGAGTGATCAAATGGATAATGGATAGAGTAATCGATTACTTAAATAATAAATTATCTTTGCTTTACTCGTAAATATTACTGTCATGCCACTTGAGACAGAGATAGTGATTAACAATGGGCTTTCTCCTGGTTAAACAACAAAATTCAATCTCATTAAGAACCGATGACATTGATGGAATGAATGGAGCAAAAACTTATACGTGCGCCGAAAAACCTTGGAAAGATGCAGGTTTGGAATTTATATTGAGAGAGAAAGAGGAACGTGTTTTAGAGAACATAGGAAAGTTTCAAACATTATCTTGACGACTCTTAGGTTTTTTCGGTAAAGTCACGTAGGTAAAAAGAAATAATTATTTGCCTTACTTGATACAGTAAATTTATCTGTGACGGTCCCACATGATGACGGAGACTTGTGTTGCCTCCGAAACGTCGTGATTTATTAATTTATTTCTATTATTTTTATTTTTTATTTTTAACCTACGTGACTTTACCGAAAAAAATCTAAGAGTATGAATCCTTGCAGTCACGAACACTTCCAATCTAGAATTATCTTGACTGTAAAAGTAACTGAGCTTGGAAAGGACTCGTCATAGAGGGAAGGAATGATGGCCGGGAGGTCGAGATTTAACGTCGAAATGGCTGCCAAAGGAAAAAACACTCCAGAGAGAGAACATCAACTGCTGGATATGGAAAAATTATTCATCCTCAAGTAATGCTTCCCCTATGAAGGTTATAGCCCTTAACATTACACATGAATGAACGAGTGAATGAAACTATAAGTGGTGGTCCTCACCATCAGTAGGAGTGTTCCTCTCAGCGCCAGCCCAGGCGAGCTCCTCCGCTTGGTCATGAAGCTCCTCACTCCTCGCCCTCAGACTTTCGATTCCTTTCTCACCTCTCACCTCCTATGACGGCTCTGTAATATTATTTTTCTCTTCAACTACTTTTTAACTATATTTTTTTATTTCACTGGTTTAAGGCCCCACTGAGCAGTGTAACTCTTTTTCAAGAGCAACCTGGCTATCACAAATGATAGCAGCTCAACGAAGTGACTTATCAAGTGGAATTGTAGAGCAGACACGTTACTCTAAACGTGTGATGTTGATTCTAAATCTGGAGGGAAAAATCCACATCTGTCTTGTTTCTCTATATTCCCCACTATATCTCTCCTGTCTCCTCACCCTCTTGTCACGCTTCTCGACCCCCTCTTGTCAGAAGCCTGAGTTCGCAAGCTTCTTCTCTACATTGTCACCTCCAAATGTGTTTTTTTTTTTTACAAATCTCGCTCTTAACAGTTAAATCGCAGCCGGATTCAATGCTAAACGAAGAGACTAGGCAATTGCTTAGTGACACTGTGGCAAGTTTTCCCTTCGTGTTTTTTCTTACTGCGAGTTCCTTGCAAAGGTCACGTGCGTGGTTTACAGTGCTAAGTTTATGAGAGGAAGTTGGCAGTCTGCTGTAGCCCTGACAACGCAGTCGTAAATTTGGGTGCGGTCACATGGCCAAGTGGTGCGCATACCTCCATTAATTACTAATCGCGTTCTTAAACCAAATAAATACGTGCCCTGGTTCATCCGAAATCTACGTAATCACTCGACACTATACAGCAGTTGCAGATCTTTAAAAACAGTGGACAGAGTTTGATTTATTTTGATTGACGTGACTGCTGTCCAGTTAGTGGGCTGAGTCTTATGCGCAGGAGCAGGAAAGTGTTATCCCTGAGCACGCGAATCGATCGGTCAATTATTAGTATTCGTTATACATTCAAAGAGTAACAATCAAAATCGTCAGATGTGCTTAAAAAAACGACAAATTTATACCTGTATGAGTGGTTTTTGGGAAAAATATGTGCGTAAAATGTATATTTTTGGATAATCCGCTGCCATCCTCCCTGTCATTAGCATGGATAATCGAGAGTCTACTGCATTAAAATATCGAGGTTTGGAAGTTATAGATAATTTGCTAAATAAAAACATCGAGATTTGTTCACATTGTCAGGAGAGGGGTAAGAAACTAAAAATGTTTTTTTCCCAGATGAGGGCCCACTGAGCTATATAGTAGCTCTATTTCAGAAGCGATAACAAATTAGAGCTCAACAAAGTGTCTTATCACGTGGACGTTTATAACAGCCAAATACCCTAAACACGTGGCATTGATTCCAAGTATGGAGGGCAAAAACCGGAGGACCCAGAGAAAAATCCATGCGACCTCCACGGGGAGAGAGAGATACACAGACACCAAATATACAGCTGGGGTATGGGTCGGGAGCGAACCCACGACCTACTGCGTACCAGGCGAGGTAAGTTTACATCTCCTAGCCACCGACGTGCCCACAGTGGTAAGAGCACAAAGAATGAGCACCTTGCCATGATTTATACACGCACGTTATAATCACGTATTATGATCATAACGATGAGTTTTAGAAGATCTATCATTATATCCCCAATACCAGGAAAACCCCTTTGTTGTCTCTGCTCATTCACTAAGCAGCAGTTCAGAGTATTTGGCCTTCTTGAAGACGGTGGGTGCAGTGCTCGGCAGAGTGCCACCTACCGACTCCATAGTCTTACTGGGCGATTTCAATGTTGACGTGGGAAACGATGGAGACACCTGGAGAGGCGCGATTTGGAGGAATGCCCCTCCCCCCTGATCTGACCCCGAGTCGTGAGATGTTATTGGAATTCTGCGCTAGTCACGATATGTCAATAACAAACACAATATTCGAACACAACGCTATTAATGAGAGCACCTCTGGCCAAAGGTCAATTAATAACTTTTTAGTTGTATCATCGGACCTCAGGCAGTATGTTCTGGACACTCAGGTGAAGAAGGGGGCAGAGCTGTCCACAGATCACAACTTGGTGGTTAGATGGATCCGACACTTGCAGCAATAACCAGATGGACGTGGAAGGCCCAAACGAATAGTGCGGGTTTTCTAGGAACATCTGGCAGAAGACCCAGTGCACTTATATTTAAACTTCCACCTCCGGGAAAACGTATCCTTCACTCCCAGAAAGGTCGTGGACATTGAGTCCGAGTGCACAATATTCAGGACATCGATTGTGGATACAGCTGTGAAAACTGTGGCCTGAAGGAACTTGATGCCTGTCATGGCGGCAACCCTAGGACCCGCTGGTGGATACCAGCAGTGAGGAAAGCTGTCACATTGAAGAAGGAGGCTTTCTGAACTATGCTCAGAAAAAGTTTTCCCGCCTCGATTGACAAGTACCGGCTTGCCAAGAGAGCAGCAGCTGCAGGAGTCACGAATGCGAAAGCCCGGGCATAAGACAAGTTTGGAGAGGCCATAGAGAGGGACTATCGGGCAGCCTCAAAGATGTCATGGGAAACCATCCGACGCCTTAGGATGAGTCAATGGAACGTGGCCCAGGCTGTTTTCAGTAAGGGGGGTGAAACATTAAACTCAACTAAGGAGATAGTTTAGAGGTGGAAGGAACACTTTGAGTAGCTCCTCAACCTGGTGGACATGCCCTCCTCTTAGGAGGCAGCCCTGGAAACAGCTGATATGGTCGGAACCCACATGACTGCTGAGGACCTTCACATCAGCAAAGCTACTGGGGTGGGCAAGATTCACCTTCCTGGCTCCCCCCCCCCCCATCCTTCCTTGGCTCCTCCCCCTCCTCTTACCCTATATAATAATGTATCATCACAAATACCTCTCGCTACAGTTATTTTGCTGTGCCTTTTTACACCTGATGAAGGAAGCTTGTGTTGCCTCCGAAACGTCGTGATTTAATTGATTTATTTTCATTTATTATTATTTTACGTGACTTTACCGAAACAACCTAAAAGTATAGTGGACAAGATTCACCAAAAGTTGTTGAAATCGCTGGACAGTGGAGGAGTGTTGTGGTTAACATGCCTCTTCAATGTCGCATGGAAGGCAGGTACAGTACCTCTGGATTGGAAAACTAGGGTCATGGTTCCCACTTTAAAAAAGGGGACCGGAGTGTGTGTTCTCACTACAGAGGAATCACACTCCACAGCATCGCAGGTAAAGCTTATGCCAGAGTGCTGGAGAGGAGGCTCCACCCGGTGGTCGATCCTCAGTTTCAGGAGGAAAAATGTGGATTCCGTCATGGGCATGGAAAAATAGACCAGCTCTTTTCCCTCCCAAAGATATTTGATGGATCATGGGAGTATGCTTCTCTGGTCTACCTCTGTTGTGTAGACTTGGACAAAGCATGTGACCATGTTCCCCGCAATGTCTTGTGGGAGGTGTTGCGGGAGTATAATGCACCTGTCCCGCTTTTGTGCACTATCCGGTCTCTCTATTCCCAGAGTGAGAGCAGTTTCCTTATTATACTGGTAGGAACGAAGTGGACCAGCCTACAATAGATTATATCGTCCGTCCGTCTGTCCGACCGTCCGTCCGACCGTGTAGCAACATCGCCCCCTACTGCAAACACTTGGCATGACCCTACAAAAACCTTTAGACTCAGTGACGCTTTCCTGGCTAAACAAGTGTAACATTCCCTTATAATTCCCTCAGATAGCTTTTAAGTAAAACATTTAAATTAATGAGGCTTTTCTGGCTAAACAAGTGTAACATTCCCTTATAATTCCCTGAGATAGCTTTTAATTAAAACTTTTAAATTCTAATTTTACTCACAGCGCCCTAAAGCCTGCAGCTAGGCCTAAAGCCTCGAACTACGCCTATCACTCTCCCTTCGTATCGTACCCCCGCGTGTGTGCAAGGGAGTTAATGTTTAACAATGTTACATTCCCTAATGCTTTTAAATAGAAACATTTAAATTTAAAGCTTTTACATAAATAATAAAAACATTTAATTTTAAAATTAACTCACGGCAGCCTAAAGCCTACAGCTAGACCTAAAGCCTAGAACTAGGCCTCAACCTCTCCCTTCGTATCGTACCCCCGCGTGTGTGAAAGGGAGTTAATGTTTTACAATGTTACATTCCCTGATGTTTTTAAATAGAAACATTTACATTTAAAGCTTTTACATAAACAATTAAAACATTTAAATTACAAATTAACTCACAGTGGCCTAACGCCTACAGCTAGGCCTAAAGCCTAAAACTAGGCCTCACACTCTCCCTTTGTATCGTCCGATTCGGTGTAGCAACATTGCCCCCTACTGCAAACACTTTGCAGGACCCTACAACAATCTTTAGACTCAGTGGGGCTTTCCTGGCTAAACAAGTGTAATAATACATTATGTTTATATTCTTTGCTTATTCGTTCCTACCAGCCCACCCCGCAGGGTCCTGTTTGGTGTTAAATCAAAGTCGTTCACTGTAGGTGTTGGACTCCACCTACGGTGCATCCTGTATCCACTCCTGTTTGTGATTTTCATGGACAAGATATCAAGGCCCAGCTGATGTATGGAGAATATCTCGTTTGGGGGCATGGTGGTGGTGTCGCTGCTGTTTTTTTAGATGACGTTGTCTTCGTTGCCTCGTCACTCTGTGATCTCCAGCATGCACTTGAACGGTTTGATGCCGAGTGTGAAGCGGCTGGGATGAGGATCAGTACCTCCAAATCTGAGGTCGTGGCTCACTCCTGGGAGACGGTGGGGTGTGCTCTCCAAGCGAGGGGGGAACAGCTGCCCTTAGTGGAAGAGGTTAAGTACCAAGGGGTCTCTTTAGCGAGCGATGGTAAGTGGAAGTGGGAGATCGGCCGGCTGATTGGTGCGGCGTCCGAGGGGAAGGAGGCACTGTACCGTTCCATGGTAGTGAAGCTCGCGGTTTACAGGTAGCTCTACATTCCCACCTTCACCTATGGTCATGAGCTTTGGGTAATGACAAAAAGGATGAGATCGCGGGTACAAGGGGACGAAATGAGGTTTCTCCGTCGGGTTGCTGTGCTCACTCTCTGTGATTGGTTGAGGAGCTCGGTAATCCGGGACAGCCTCAGATCTAGAGGAACTAGTTGAGGCGGTTTGGGTACCTGGTAAGGATGCCCCCTGGTAGACTCCCCCGAGAACTCTACCGGGCAGCACGTCCCACTGAGTGAAGACCCCGGGCCGGCACAGGACACACTGATGGGGCTATGTCGCTCAGCTGACCTGGAAAACCCTGGGACTTCACCAGGAAGAGCTGGGGTTTGTGTATAGTAGTGTAGTGTATAATGTAGTAGAATGTATTGTAGTAGTGTATAGTGTAGTGGAAAGTATAGTAGTGCTGGAGTCTGTCGCCAGGGAAAGGGAGGTCTGGACCGCCATACTCAACACGCTGCTGCCACAATCCTCACCAGGAAAAGTGGATCGAGAAACAAACAAAACGAACAAACCTCCGAAGGAAGGGAGTATGATAGGGGTTATGACCTCAGGTGCCAGGATGTCTGCGGAACCAGAACAAAACGTGAACTAAGACTGACCGGATGAATGCTCGAGATCATTGATACCGCGAGAAGCTTTGGGCTTTC